AATGCATATATATCACAAACAAAAATAATGTTGACAATACAAAACAGCTTATTAGGTTCCAAAAGGAGGTGGGATGAGGTTTAGTCCAGTATGAGATTTAGTTTAGTTCCATGGACCTGTGATAGGTCATGTGTCAACAGTTTAATTCAGTCCATAGGTTTACTATTCCTACCGCAACGCAGCGGTGGTTGGGTGGCTCGCCATCCCGTGCTGATCAGGGCTGATCGCGGGGGAAAAAAACCTGACCTAAACAAGGTCAAAAAAATAAATTATCATTCACAGAAGAAAATGAAACACCATTCTACTGCTGTGACAAAATAAATCCATAAATAAGAAAGACAAGTAATTAATGCCATGTTTCATACAACAACCAATAAACCATCATCTCTTATAATGAATTTCATTCAAAATACTATTATAGAAAAACATTCTCATGGGTCCCATCAAAGTATATCAGCAATAAAGCTAATAAACATTATCCAAAGTTAATCAAATATATTTACAAAGCTCATTTAATCACAGGTGTTGCGCAACAGATTCAAAAATCTAAATGGAATTTAACTCAATGCAAAATCCCATAGGCCGTTTTGGTATTTCATCAGAAAAGTAACAAAAACCATCCAAAATGGACAAAACTACAAAAATCAAATCACTCGTTCAACTCTAGATACGTTAAGTCAACATTCGGCCATAGTGGGATAAACAAAAACAACAATATTCAATAAATAAAACTAGTAATTGCACTTACTGTCGCTAGCCTAGCATTAGCTAGCATTAGCTAGGCTAGCGATAGTAAGCGGCGGAAGTAGGGGTCAGAAGTTACCGTGGTTACATGTGACTTTAAGTTAATTTTGCAGATTTACAACTTGATGCAAACAAAAAAAAACCTGACAAAGGTGATAATAAACTAATAAAACAATCCACACGTGGGCATACAGCTAGATTTTATATCATTGTCAAGCAGCTTCATTACATGTGCAACAAAGTCTATCATCATTATCGGCTCTTAAGTGACAAATAGAATGTTAAAAAGGGGAAATTCAAACTTCAAACTTGGACTTTGTTTATTTCATGCATAATGTCAAATCTTAAAAGAGTTAAAGTAAATCAGTGTTCATTATTAAGAAATAATAAATATAAAAACTGCACTTTTTGTGTGCTGTGAAAGCAAGATATCTTATTTTATTATTGACCTACACTGTTTGAAGTCTTCAGCTAAACAGCAAAGCCCTGATTATACTGTCTGTGTCTGCACGTGCCAGTTTTTCCGTGACTACATCGACTTGTCAAGTCCTCCTGCTTATATCAGAGATTGTTTTTATTTTTCTGATCATGAATTGTAACATTAAAGTATTTTGCAATGAAGCAGTAAAGGAGTAATCTACTGTGAAGGAATGTGATAATCCGTAAGACCGAGGCTGTTCAAATTGTGGAAACTGTGTTTTCTGTGCATCTTCTCCATTAAACAAGTGAAGCGTTTGCATATTTAAACTGAATTATAACAGCTCTACCTGTTTTTTTTATTTTGAAACAGGAAATCATTACAACCCCTTAAAGACACACTGCTTCTCTCCGACAGGAATGAACTATGACCAACCAGAAGATCCAGATGTCACCCCTATTCCCCTGCATGCTCCTCCCCCTCCCCTCAGGGCTCCCAGGGATGGTGGTGGTTGAAATCCCCTTCTTTGCCCCAAAATTTGGGATCTTTGCTTTGACCAAATTGTTTGGGGTGACAATTTTATCAAAATTTTCATTTTTTTCCTTGTAACAAATAAAAAGGGAACCAATAATCCACTAATCACAGGCCAAATCTGATCAGATGATGCTACAGCCAGTTATGGATTGAGGCACGGGTAAAAAGAGTCACGACAACTGGGAACACGCTGAGATTAGAGTTGAACTGTCCGACGTGGATGGACGCTTCCTCTCTTTTCTCACCTTTATAACCTCATTCTGCTGGATTCACTAAATTTAACATTCACTTTGGTTTGACTCTGCACTTTAGCACATTAATACAAAGCACTCAATGGAATCACTAAACAAGTGATTCTGCAATATACTGCAATACAGTCATCTGTGATACCTCACAAAGTAGGTATTTAAAGAAGAAAATGTCCTCGAAATGGGAAAAATTGTACACTATGACCTGAAATTTAAAATCTTTCAGGCTTAGTCTGATATACAAGAATATTCACAGGAGATTGTATTGTGATATATTGCTCTGTTGATGATTATCTGTCCCATCTCTACTTGGCTGGGGCGAGATAAGCTTGGATTTGGTTCCACGTGGATGTTTGTCTTCCC